GTAACCAAGATCAGGACACAATTATTCAATGGATATATGTAAGTATGTTCTGAAGGCAGCTCTACTTCCAATCGCCATAATTGTAAACTATTTACTCTATTTGCAACTTGGCAATCAAGAATAAATTGCATTAGGGGAACTTGAGGGGTCGAGCAGAAAAGCATTTATAAAATGTAAATAGCAATTAGGAAAGTAAGAAATTCTGAATACCATTGTGTAGAAAGCGAAAAAATTGGAATTAGCTAAAGAATGCCTAATAGGAACAGGAGTTGAACTGACGAATGTTTAGAGTTGTGGGAAACGGATCATCTTGTGAGAATTGCCACATCCGTCTCCAGGAGCAATGAGTTGATGCATATTCCAAGTTGGTGCGTGTGTACTGTGGAGCGTGCCTCCCTTCTGAAATGGTGGAGTTTTCTGGCTTAGCCTACTTCTCCTGCTTCTCCATCGGCAACATCAAAGGACTATTTCAGAGCATTTATTTGTTTGTGGTTAAAAGTTCATAATAGATAGCCAACTTTAGTTTATATGTTAGAAATCCCGTAGGTCTTGATTTACGCTGATTTTGTGTTTGCTTATATGGGCATCCCGCGGTATGGCGTTAGAGTACTGTTGAGACATCTGGATTTCTCTCGATGAAATTTAGATAGAACTAAAAGTGATCTTAATAGTCGAACACGGAGTAGACTAACCCTAATTCTGTATATCCATCAAAAATGCAGATAATGACATTAATGAAGCAGAAAAGTGCAATTATTGCTGGTCGTTGGACTAAAGGTTGAGCCGATTGAGCAAAAGCGTAACTTTTTCATACAACAGTTTGCATTAAAGCTAAATGCTTTAATTCATGCCGAATACTGTCATTCTGGTACTCTTTGGAAGCCTCCAATACTCAAAACGTAGAACTCGGTAGTATACGTAGTACAGAAAGCTTAACTGGATATCTCGTTATTTCCAATCAACGAGCCTCAGTATTAAAGTACTTCAACAAATATGTAGAATTTGAACAAGTTTCATATCGTTGCCTTACTTGCCTTCTGTTTTGAATAGTAGTAGTCTATTTTCCTCAACAGTCATGGAAGCGCACGAGCCCCCCTATTAATATTGATGCCTCTGCAAATTCGAGATTTGACTGAACGAAATGCTCCTACCTGCTATATCGATCAAGATTTCACGATAAATCAATGCGAATCTTAGTTTACCTGACTGCCAAATTTTTGGCTATTGGTCCAAAGCATTAACTTTCGAAATTTGAGTGCAACTTCAACTAACTTTTTATTGATTACAAATAAACCTCGTACAAATCGAATTTCATCAGCGAATATTTGATTTGTTTAGCTTCCTATCATTGTTCCTACCACACGAAGGCATTCTAGAGATGAAATTTGAAAACGAAGCCATTTTATCGATAACTCATTTGGGCGTACTAATGCATCAATATCTAATGGCTAGATCCGTGACATAGTTATGTCACTTTCCGTCGCCTTTCATTGTGTAAGATTCTTATGCAGAGAAAAGAACAAAATAAACAATTCTCAAGATCTTATCAGATGCCATTGGTAATTATTTATTAATACCACATTATTTTGTTTCAGCAGGCTATTTGTGCCTATGTATGGGTTTTTTATCAAGTTTCGAATTATTTTCTCATGACTGTAAGTTAAAACATGACTGTTTTAAGTTCTGTAAGAGGATGAACTATGTCAACATTGTACATTAATTCACCTTGGAAACAATGAATGCTAATGAATGAGTCAGTCTCTGGGTGAATTTCACTTTCAGTCCCTATCGTTTTGACGCCAATATTAACCATAAATTAGGAATTAACTGGAATTGCAATCAGACGCTTCTCTGCGTACTTATGTCAGGGGCTCGTTCGCGTTAGAGTATATATGATGGGCATAGTTTATAAATAAGGCCTTATTCATGAAGAGACTATATTGGTGAGGGTTCAAGTTGAGGTAGGTTTTAAATAGAGGCATTTCTCAACGTATTCACAGATTGACCATTTGATAGGAAGTCAGTAGAATTAATCCCGTTACTTCAACTCCAGTTAGTTGAAACATAGCGAAAAGATGAATAAAAAATTGGTCGAGTAAATCATTTCATTTATTGCAACGTTCAAGAAACAGAAATGAAAGAGAGTTAAAATTCATTCAAGAAATTGAAATTTTTGAAGATGAAATGTGGTTGAGAGGTGATTTGATTTCAATTTATAATTAATTCACAAAATTTCTACGTTAAAATTGTTACAGAAATGGAATATCAGAAAAACATTTGCTTTAACGGCATTATCTTTACGTTAATTTCCAGATTCGATGTTATCGGATGATTATCAGAGCTGATTTTAGCAAAATGACGAATATTAGAAAATTGTTAATGCAAAACATAAAGTCATTCACCTTTTGAATTTTTATTTTGCTTATGCTAATTGTCTATGAAACTTTGGCTGGGCCTAAAGCTATTTTAAGGTCAATCAGAAATAATCTACTTGATTTTTAAAAAGTACATATCGTGTACCGAAATATTCAAATAGTTAAAAAAAATTAAAAATAATTTAGTAAATTATCCCAAATCCTTCTGAAATGAAAACATTGAGATGACGTTATAACTGGGTGTAATGAGGACATTCTATGACTCAATCATAATGATTACTTCATGCAAAAATAGAAGTGCTACATTTAATCGAGTATGGAATGCAAATATGAGTTCAAAATGAGCATGAAAAATGTGAAAAACAAAATTTTTCAAATAATATGGATTTTATTTGTTATTTCTGTTCGGTACCACGGTAACTGGTACAGCACCCTGGCGAATGACAAATTCACTCACGCTACCAAGAAGAGCACGAGAAGCTGCCTCAGGTCCACGAGTTCCCATAATGATCAAATTCGCATTCATATCCTTAGCTGTGCGGATGATACCTTCGCCTATCTTTTCGGCAGGTTTACTGAGGAAAGCACAATTCAAGGTCGCACCTCTACCCTCTGCAATGTAGTCCTCCTCAAGTTGTCGCACTTTATTCACCTTTTCGCGTAGTTCCTTTTTCCATTCCTCTAGAGGCATTGATCCGAGATTGTTTAAACTGAATGCCGTTAATGAGGGGGCTTCAAATATGTGCAAAAATAACACCCCATCATCAGGCAGTCTGGAGTGCTGAAGATACCATCGGAAAGCATATTTTGCATTTGCAGAACCATCCACAGCTATGACAATTTTGCGACCTCGTATTCCTGGATCTCCGGAAAGTTGCTTTTGCACTCCTTTGGTCATTGTGGAATGAGTGTTCTTGCAAGTAAGAGCAATTGTAAGGCTGCATCGACAAATGGCAAGGCTACTGACCTTTTGGCCGACCAATCAAAAACCTCAATGTCTATAGGCAAAATGCATTAACCTTTAATTGGTTAATTGATGGAAATTTTTACCGAGCAATAGGAATTCATTCAATTTACTAATAAAATCTTTTTTGGCGATTCTTCTAATTAAATATTAATAGAGGTTATCATATATACCCTCCATTTGATTTTTCTGAAATGATCAAGTTTGGTGCAGCGTGGATGCTCAGTGAATGCTGTGATAACTTATCTCTCCTAAAACTTTAGCTGTACCAACATTTATTTATTTCAATTTATAAAAGTATGCCTCGTCTTCCGAAATTGTTGCCCCACAATGAATCAAATTTTGTCGTATTTTTTTAAAATTCCCGAATATCTAGTATGAAATCATTTGTTTCCATTACTTCCCTGTGCATTTACTAGAAGTATGAATGACACCGTGTTTGTGGAGGATGGCTACACTAGTAAGCCTGGTCTATACTCAGATTACCCTAAGTGTGTAAGGACTCCCAAAACTAGCAATGCTACCACAAACCTATAGAGGAAACAGTCGTAGCACTCGGAACACGACTATTAGGGCTGTGTGCGTGTAGGTGAGTGTGCCCTCACAAGCATCTTAGTCATTATATTAAAATGGCGGGGTGTGCGATAGACTTACCTCCACGTGGTGCACCCTGGTGGGTGTGCGATAGACTTACCTCCACGTGGTGCACCCTGGGAAACGTATACTCATACGGTAAAAAGTCTATTAACCGGAAGTTTGTGTGCGATAGACTTACCTCCACGTGGTGCACCCTGGGCAGCGTATTTTCTTACGGCAAAAAAGTCTATCACTCGGCTTTCGTTATATTCATACGGCAAAAAGTCTATTAACTGGCAGTTAACTACGATAGACTTACCTCCACGTGGTGCACCCTGGGCAACGTACTTTCTTACGGCAAAAATTCTATCACTCGGCATTCGTTTTTCAATAGACTTACCTCCACGTGGTGCACCCTGGGCAACGTATATTCATACGGCAAAGTCTATTAACTGGTAGTTGACTTCTCCGCATACGGCAAAAAAGTCTATTAACCGGCAGTTTTCTTCTCACTTCAAACTACCATGACCCCCCTATATGTCCTACATTCTCATACGGCAAAAAAGTCTATTAACCGGCATTTGACATGACTTCAAACTACAATCACCCCACTGTATGTCAAATTCGACTACTGGACTTCAAACTACCATGACCCTATTGAATTTCATATTCGAATAATTCCACAGTATTCACCTCACCTTTTTCTCTACCTTTGTGTCCGTCTGTCTCTTTTATATCTGTGAATCATTATTCTTCCCCCTCTCGACTTTTTACCAGTTGGATGTTCCTCCTCCCCTCTGTGTAGCCCGAAGTCAACTAAAGGGCTAATGATACCTATCATAACCCCGAAGTCAACTAAAGGGATAATGATACCTATCATAACGGGAAGTCAACTAAAGGGCTAATGATACCTATCATAATGCCTGCCATTTGAAATAAATAAATATTAAAATGGCAGGTTTGATAAACCAGGCGAGGACAACTGATTGGCAATTGGCTGGGTGTGCATTCCGCTCTCACGCCACACTTACTGCGTACACGGATTGCACGGCGCACCTTCAAGCCAGTCTGGGTGCGCATGAGATTACTTGCTCAGCGGTGACAACGTCATGCGCTCCACAGGTTAGAGTGGACAACCACATTCTACCACCTCCACGCCAATCCGAATTAACACGCGATTGAGTTTAATTTTGGTCTAAATTTATGTCACTGTCGAGGTGTGCAATAGACTTACCTCCACATGGTGCACCCTGGGCACGTATACTCATGCGGCAAAAAAGTCTATAAAATGGCAATTGACTTCTAACTTCAAACTACTATCACCCCACTGTATATCATATTCGACAATTTCCACAGTAATCACCTTACCTTTTTTCTCTACCTATGTGTCAGTTTTTTTACATCATTCAACCACTCTTCTGTCCCCAACCCACCCCGCCCTTTCGACTTTTTAAATTTAAAGTTCCTTCTCCTCTTTGAAGCCTGAAGTCAACTTAAGGGCTGATGATAACTATCAGAACGCCTGCCATTTGATGCAAAAAATCACTGTGAACGGAATTACATGAATTTTGAGTATTTGACTATCTCAAACTCGATGTCTGAAATTTTAATTAATAATTAAAAAATAATAAAATGGCAATTGACTTTTTGGTTGAAATGAAAACCAATTTTGTTAAGTACGATTATATGATTGGGATTATAACGAATACGAATGTTAAAATTAAAAAGCTTAATTAAAGAATGGATTATGAGTTTGAATTTTAAATGAGTATGAAGCATGGGAAAGAGGGAGAAACATCACAACAGATTTGGGGTTTTAGTTGGGGTTGCTGTTGTTAGGTACCACAGTAACGGGTACAACGCCCTGATGAATGACAAAATCACTCACGCTGCCAAGAAGAGCACGCGAAACTGTCCCAAGGCCACGAGTTCCCATGATAATCAAATTCGCATTCATATCCTGAGCTGTTCGTATGATACCTTCTCCTATCTTTTCGGCAGGTTTACTGAGGAAAGTACAATTCAAGGCCACCGCTTGACCTTCTGCAATGTAGTCCTCCTCAAGTTGTCTCACTTTATCCAACTTTTCACGAAGTTTCTTGTTCCATTCCTCTACAGGCACGGATCCGAGACTGCTTAAACTGAATGCGGTCAATGAGGGGGCTTCAAAAAAGTGCAGAAATGTCACTCCATCATCAGGCATTCTTGAGTACTGAAGATACCATTGGAAAGCATATTTTGCATTAGCAGAACCATCTACAGCTATGATAATTCTGCGACCCCCTTTTTCTGGAATTCCGGAAAAT